ACAGCAGAGTCAATTTCTTTGGCGCTTTTCGACGAAAGCGTTAACATTGAAACAAAAATTGAGCTTGCAAAAGCAATCCAGGGAGATGAAGGCAATAAGGACAATTCCCAAAATTTAAAACATGTTTTACTTGAAGAAAAAGATGTTGTCACTTGTATCAACCAGCCGCTACAATGTCTTGTATAAAAAAATACTACCACCTTTTTCAAACGATTTAAAATAGGGTGTAAGTTTCTGAAGTACCATCCGTCCACTTGGAACTCTCGATAAGATTTTCAAAAGGGATTGTCAATCGTCAAAAATGACACGGCCGAAAGATGGGTCAAACTTATGGAAGAATTTAACAGTATTTTAACAAAAAAGGAATATTGGAAACAGTTTCTTTTAAAAGTTGTTAAGGACTAAAAAGTTTCCGAGCAGTAGTAAAACAGCACTTTTAAGAACAGTTTAGATTAAATTTATTTGTTTAGATGCGGTTTTTTATAATTTCTTGTTTTGCCCTACCACATTTTGTGTTCAATAAATTTATTTATGGTGTTTTTTTAATAATAACAAAATAAATCTTCCACCAAAACAAGGCCCTTGACGCACGTCTTAGAGTTGATTGATCGGGCTCAAATTTTACACAGCTTATTTTATTCCTATTTGAACAATTTTTAAGGGGTGAGACGGCCGGAATAGATTATAAATATTGAGATTTGTTAAAAAATTGGGTACTATGTTCCACATCCTTTGAGATATAAATAATTATTTAATTATAATTAATTAAAGTTACGTTTCTGTCAGTGTCAAGCTAATCTCTTCCTATTTTCTGAAAATAATGCAATATATGTATATATGTATTTTTTGTGTATACGCTAAAGAAGCATCGCTAATAGAGCGACACGGGGTATGTTACAAACGCGTTTGTAACATACGCGTTTGACAGCTGCGAGTGTTTTTAAGAATAAAGCCGGAAATGTTAAAAATATCTAAAAAAAAACGGGGCACGATTTGTTGTATTGTTGGGTGTTTTTTGAGAGGAAATCCTTGCTTGAGTTTCTACCGGTTTCCCAATAAACAGTAAAAATCCGAATGAAGATATAAAATGCAGTCTCAATAAATATAAATTGTACCTTAAAGCTTACTTCAGCCCGTGACTAAAATGTCATATTGTAAATTTGTCAATGTGTATTTAAAAGTTCACTTAGTGTCATGGAAACATGTACAATAATGGCCATTTAAAGGTGTATTTTGATAAACTAAATACATTTAAAAAATTATATGGTGTTACATTGTGTTTTTAAAAGGTTTGTATTCATATAAAATATTTTTGCTATTTTAAAACAAAAACTGTATTTAAGTAGGTATACGTATAAAAAGTATACTTATAAATATATATATTTCGAAAAAAAATCCATTTACTTATTGGGGCCTTACTACTATAGTAATTAGTTTCGTCCACCTAGATTCTTAATCCTGTTCACTGTACGATCCTTTGAAAACTACTTTCTGTATAAACATAGTAATTGAATAGTCCTTGTCAAAAAGATAAGAATAGCTCCTTTGTCCTTTAAAATAATTAAAAAGATAATGCCATATATGTGTTCCACATTTCTCTCTCATAATTCAGTTATATGTGAATTATTGTTTGTATCCAAAATTTAAAACCGAAACAAAATTTGTTACAGTCGTATTTCGCGAAAAAAAGTTTGATATTCGTCATTTTAGTCACGAATTTAATTTAGGCTGAATCGAGTATCTAGAAAAGTTCATAAACGAGTTTTATATTTACCTACTTTTTCTACGACAAATACCTACTTATTATCTATTATCTAAAAATGATTTAAATTAAAAATTTGTATAGAGATACAAAAATAGAGTAACCCTAAGAATGGGAATCTGTATTACTGGCGGTAAATCTCAAATTTTTCTGTGTAAATCAAAATTTATTCCTTGAAAATGCACAAAAAACCGTTATAATCCGATATAGAAGCAGTTTTTTTACAGTGAAAGTAAATGGAATGTTTTTCGCCACCGGCGAAATTAAAAGGTCAGTACAAAGGTACATATCGTCGCCTTCAGGAGAAAATTGCTTAACTCCATGTTGTAAAATTTTACAGGAGGAAAGAAAAACATATTAAAGGTGTATTGGTGTATCTCCACATTACCGCCAAAAAATTGTTTAATGGAAAATTACGTATCTCCAATATGTACTTTATGTTAATAAAAGTAACCTTAAATTATTCATGGTACCTTAACTTTACACACTATACAATCTTTCATACTTACATACAGAAAAAATAACTAGGCAATAACTTATACTTGTCAATGGCACTGATTTGTATATTGGAGTTAGGCATTATTCCCTGGACGCTCCTCCACGATTGGAGATACGTATATTTCTTTTTCTAAATTTAAAATTAACGGTTTATTTTAGGACTTCTATAACTTGCATATAAATTAGTTACAGTTTTATCTAACAGATGCCACTAAAATACAATTTTAATGAAAATGTGGAGTTACGTGATTTTCTCCTGAAGGCGACGATATAATATTTTTTAAATATATCCGTTGAGAAACTTTTTAATTTAATTTAATTTAATACTATTTAATACTTTTGTATTTGTGTAATATTAAAATAATAATAATAAATAATAATAAATAATAATAATAATAATAATAATATTTTTTGTGTAATAATAAAATAATTTTCACATTTAGTATTATTTTACAAGGGCACTTTATTTTAACGATTGTATGACATTTGACAACTGTCAACTAATTTAAAACCAACTTCAGTCCGTGACTAAAGCGCTATAAAGCTAAAGCTTTTCAATGTGTATTTAAAAGGTCACTTAGTTTCATGAAAACATGTACGATAATGGGCGTTTCAAAGGTGGGACTAGAAAAATATATTTATTCCAAAATAATTAGTGTTGTCATATGAAACAAAAATTAATTGGGTCAACAAATCGTAACCATCCTTTGTGCATACAGTCATAAAAAGGCATAAACCTTTAGTATTTATGGATGCGTGTTTAAACTTGTACACAACTGTTTGGGCAATTAATTTAATTATGTTTGAGTTAAAGTAAAGAGACCCTGGCACCCCATTAAGCTCATAAAGGGGACTGTCTCTATTCATCATATTAACAACTCAAGACTTGGGTACTTAGAACTTTCAATTTGCTTTAATATGAAGCATTAAAAATAAAAAAACATAATTTATGAACAAAAATTGTCACAAGAAGGCTTTTTATTGGTTACCAAATTTTATATTTTTCCATTTCTGTCTATTGGTTATCGACTTTAGTCATCTGACATCCGATCACTAACTGGCATCAGTCGCTTTAAATTTTGGTATTAAACTTCTAATTTGATCAGGGCACCTATATATAGAACCATTTCGATAAAAAAAAAACAATAACAATTTGTGGAATAGTGTACTTCTTTATGATAATTGGGTAAAACTGGCTGTACAAAATACATACCTAACAGAATTGCAAAGAAATTGACACCCATGCGCAGTCCAAAATAGGACATCCTTATTTTACAAATAATTTAAACTTTTCCGGACATTAAATTTCAATATTAAACGGCAGAAATGTAATTGCTTATCAAAAAGGTCGAAATTAAAATACATGAAAAAAACATTAATTAACAACTTCAAAAGTATAAACGAAATGCTGCGTTTAGTACGGCGAAAAGTCAAACAGTTTGAGTTTGTAAAATCTGTGTATAATTTCGTTTTTATTAATTTTTTCATCAAATAACATCAAAGAACATTTTAAGAAGTATTTACATAAATTCAAAATAATTTATGAAATATAGGTAGATTCAGTGCAAATAACTTTTTAATGATAATTACCTAATAAAAAATATACTATTTATTTATTTAGATTGTAATTTACAATAATATTGAATGTGAAGATCTTATTAGCGTATACGCTATAGTCAGATTTCCCAATCAATACTAGTTTCCTTAACAGCACAGTCTCGACCATTGTCTAGAACTTGTAACTTTTGTTTCTGGCGCAGGACATAATCACCAAAAAATGAGTAGAACTTGTCACCTAGTCCTCAATGTAACCCTTTGATATAGCAGTATACTGTGTTGGACGCCAGGACGCTTGATGGTGAAAATATCACCACCTTATCATACTATGCAAGAAAGAAGTCACTTTATATGTAAATATTTCAGTGGCATTAACTGAAAACTTTTTATCCACAATGATAAAACTGCCAGCAATATTTATTTTTAGTTCATGCAGATAGCTCCCCTTATCCAGTATACTTCCAATAGTTAGGTTCTTCAATTATTAAATCGTAGAGAACTTTTTTCTTAAAACGGTTTAGTCAAAAATGACTAATAATTACTCTCTAAAAATGAATTAGTCAAAAATGACTACTTGTCATAGCGAAAAAGCAGCCACTAATGATTCTTGTCAATAGCAATTTGTATCCAGAACATCCCTGAATTCATAAAATTATTATTATGTCGTCAAAAGTTATAAAAGTAAAACAGTTTTTCGGATACAGCGGACAATTTTACATAAAAATTGATTGCTAAATGTCCGGTATATAAATTGCTGTTGACTAGAATTATAAGTGGCTGCTTTTTCGCTAGTTATTTTTGACTCATTCATTTCTTTCTTCATTCTAAGAGATTAGAAATGCCCATAATTGTTTCATAGATGCTCTAATGTACTCGCAGGGTATACCCTATATATACCCTCAAGACTATAGTCTTGAGATTTGAATATTTTGTCCACAATGAGAATACAATTTTTTTCTTAATTTAGGAAATATGCCAGAAGCCTCCGTTATGGCTTCCGTACGTTATAACTAAAGAAACATAATCTTTTTTCTTTTTCGACTTCTTCCATCTTGACATTGGTTGTATTTTGACAAATTTTTCACGATTTATTAATATAGAAAATCTTACAATTGAACAATTTTTTAAATTAGAATTTTATAATAAAAAGAACAATTATTTTAAAATCTCCATTTTTTTTCAGAAGGTAAAATGATGGCCACCTCGTATGACTGTAAGTACATTGAAACATCAGTGGGTATTAATCACAATGTGGACGAATTGTTAGTTGGAATTCTGACTCAGATAAGGCTGAAACTGGAAAATCCCGAACGTAGCAGGGACCTTTTCAGGAAAAGGAGTTCTTCGAAGAAAAACTTGAACAGAAATAAATCGCCTGCATCTGGAGCAGCCACTCCCACAGGAAGTGCCCAAAATTCACCAAAAAAATACAGAGGTAAAAATTGATTTGTATTTATCTGTTCGTTATATTAAAATTATATCTAATTGGTTTTGCAGAACATTTTAAGTATTGCTGTATTTAAAAAATCATCATACGTAGTTTAAATAACTGTTTAACCAATTATATAATTTCCCTGTGATACCTGTGGTACTTAATGCATTAATTTTTGCTAAAAGTATGTTATGGTTAACAGTTTTTTATAGAGTCATTCCAAATAAAAACACCAAATGGGGTGCGCTGCTTGATTTTTTATTTTGATAAAAAAAATTGAGGATGATCTTGTAGGTATCAAATATGAAAATCCGTTGCCGTTTTAATTTTTGGATTCTTTACTTTTAATCGGCACCCTTTAGAAATCTGAAATCGTGTCAATTTCTTACTCTCTTATAGTGGGCCAGAACTTTTTTCTGTGAAAAATATTGAATTGATTTTAATTTTGTTTCACTGTTTAGTAAGTGTGTTTTCGATATAAATTATTTTTATCCAATTAGTTAATCTCATAAAAGAATGGTAAACCACTAAAGATTCATGATAATTTGCCAATTTTTGTGATTTTTGTCTGGCTCCTGTGCCTATTCTGCTAAATCTAGAAAGATGCTTTTTTTTGAAAATTGATAATTCCTAAAATTGGTCAATTTTGCCCTCAGACATCATTATGTTGAGGAAAAAATAAAAATCTGAAACTTTCAGGAAATGTAGTCCCCACCTTCATCTTTTTAGTCCACTTAGTCTTGTTTTGTTATTTTTATTCCTTTAAAAGATATATTAATTTTTTTAATGCCCGTTTAGTAGCGAAATTGTTAGTTTTATTATATACATATTATTTATAATATGTCATTTTATGTTATATAAGTACAAAACTTTTTAAAATCACCAAAGAAATACCACAAATAATAATTAATAAATATTTTTGACAGTTCTGATATATTTGGTACTTATGTTATTTATTAAAACTTGAATATTTTCTATGAGAAATAGGTACAAAATTATGATATGTTCTTGCATTTTTAATTGCAATTAAATACATAAGTCTTGAACACTCCGTCATTTATTACACTTGCAAACTTGCAAACTTTTTGAAATCACAATTTAAATACGCACAAATAATATTTATGAAATATTTTTGACAGTTCTGACATTTCTCTACCAAACATGAATTGAATAAGTCAAAGCCATCTAAATTTTAAATTATAAATAAAACTAACAATATCGCTTCTTAACTGTATTAAAAAAATATTATATCTTTTACATGGAAAAAATAACAAAACAAGACTTACTAGACTGAAAAGATGAAGGTGGGGACTACATTTCCTGAAAGTTTCAGATTTTTATTTTTTCCTCAACATAATGATTTCTGAGGGCAAAATTGGCTAATTTTGAAAATTATCAAGTTTCAATAATTTTTTTAATAAAGAAAATGATAGTCTAGAAACTTAAAATAATAGTTACGTTTTCTGCTGTATAAGTACTTGATACCTGAAAAAAATCAACTTTCTAGATTTAGCAGAATAGGCACAGGAGCCAGACAAAAATCACAAAAATTGGCAAATTATTACAAATCTTTAGTGGTTTACCATTCTTTTATGAGATGAACTAATTGGATAATAATAATTAATATTGAAAACATACTTACTAGGCAGTAAAGTAAAATTACAATAATTTCAATAATTGCCACAGAAAAAAGTTGGCCTCTTATAAGAGAGTAAGAAAATGACACGATTTCAGGTTTCTAAAGGGTGCCGACTAAAAATAAAGCAACTAAAAATTAAAACGGCAACGGTTTTTCATATATGATACCTAAAAGATCATCCTCAAATTTTTTCATTAAAATAAAAAATCATACAGCGCACTTTTAAATTCATTTTTGGTGTTTTCATTTGGATTGACTCTATATTCCTTATAAAAATCCGTGCAGACAGCTTATATCTCACAGTTCGCCTATACCAAAGTTTAAACAAAAAAATATATAAAAGTTGAACCGCATATTTTTCAGAAGTCCATATTTCTACCTTGTAAAAAAATATATTTTCAAAATCGGCTACGTAGCTATTTGTTTTTTACAGGATGTTGTATATTTTGGTATATTTACTCCTATGAAATGTACTATAATTTTGTTTTAATTAACAAAATAGCCAAAATCATTAAATTGTTGCGATTAATATTTAATAAAAAATGTGAAATTTTTTACTTTTTATGAAACAACAATTTTTCATAGTTTAAGTCTTTATTTAAACGAGAACAACTTAGATAATTACTCAATTATTGTATTTTAAATATGTCTACTGTTATAGGCACTGACGCTTCTAATTAACTGTTTTATATAATTTTCAGAATTTGGATTTAGATTAAAGTTTTTAGAAAAGGTTTTGTAGGAGTAATGTAGCTGTTCTGAAGCCTGTTCTGAGTAGAACCCCAGGGCTCGACTTGTTATGTCAATGAAATCAGCCACATGGTATACGACGCTGTGTATTTTTGGAGTTATTTTGATATTTGCTTTTTTTATTTCTTCATAAAAGTTGTCAATATATATTTTGTAGTTGGCATCCAGATTTTGCCCAAAGCAAGCAGCTACTACTTTGTCAAAAGACTTCAATACTGGTATGTACTTATTTCCTAAAATGCAAAAAATATATTCAAGACCTATTGTTTTTATTTTACCTAGGAGTTTTGTTTTTTAATAAAAATGGAAAATTTTATAATTTCCGTCTATACGAGATAAATTCAAAACAAAACAAAAATGCAGGAAATCAGAAACGAGTAATATTATTGTATTCACCTGGGGCCAAATTTTCTAAGTTAGCTACTTTTTTAAGTAGTTTTCTTGAATTGTTGCCATTTAAACGGTTGTAATGGTCAAGTTGTATATTAGATTTCTTTAGCCACTTTTCCGTTATTTCAGGCAAATCCTGTTTTATTCCATCCAAAATCTTTTGAGCAACGCCCATCAACAAATGAAGTTCTGGGGGTGCCACGTATTTAATAATTGGTTCAAAGACATCTCCAATTACGAGAGGGATGTTAACACAATTTCCTAAAAATATTGTAATATGTATATACGTATACGTATATCTGCTAATTGTACTTGTAATACAATAAAAGTAAAAAAACTAAATGTAAACGTACCAAAATGTTTTGTTTTGCTAAGGTCAAAACCTTGTTCTTTCCATTGATTGGTGCATTTTGTTATATTCTCGATGGTTCTTAGTTGTCCCTTATTTGCCAAATCTTTATTGCTTATATCACACCAAGGGCAAGGGTGACACGATGAGTTTGACTGAAGGCCTAATATGATCATTAGTAATTTTAAATCGGCAGCAAAGGTGTAAGAACATATACCGCAAATTTTATGAATTTCAATGACTTTAAAAAGCATTTCGATATTTCTGTATGTCTCAATCATTTTGGGTCCTAGACCAACTAGCATTAATTTTTTTATGCTGGTGCTTTTACAATTTTCTTTTTCATCTGTTTCAGTAAGGGAACATATAGAAAAGCAAAGCTTTAAGGATCCTCCCCCACTGTCAAGTCCAAATTTAATATGAAAATTATTCTCAGATAAGTCTCGTGGATTTAGTAATTGTACAATAAATTTGGATAAGTTGGAACAGTAAATCAAAGGCACAGATTCTGTCACATGTTTTCCAACATCAGCTTCGGGTACAATTAAATGAGAAAAAAGTCATCCAAAGAATGACTAAGATCTTTAATGTTTTTAATCGCATTTGGTTCTATTAATTTTTTATCTACTTGTCTTATTCGTTGAGTTAGCATTTTTAAACTATTTTCAGGTAAATTGCAATCGATATGTATATTTTGTAAGTCATTTGTTGTTATAACAGCTTTATTTTCATTGTTTTTTTTTACATAATAACTCAAATTTCAGTTCGACTCCTCGTCCTTTATTTAATTTTAAAGAGGAACTGCTTTGAGCCACTTCTTCTGTTAATAGGATTTGACTTGCAATTTGTTGACTACAGTTTTTGGCAAGTTTAATTGTATTAGACACTTTACTTCTTATATTACATGAATGCCTTACACCCTTTTGAATTTTTGTGTGACACTTAAGACATAATTTAGCTAATTTCGGTAAGACATCAGTACTTTTTCTTTTCTGCCTTCCGACAGGTAACTTTTTAACAATACGTGGTATAGATGGTAGTTGTATTTGGGCATTTGGAATGGGACGAAAACGAGCAACTTGACAAATGGGGCAACTGCACATTTCTAAATTTTCATGCCTTTTTAGCCTAATTTTATCCGTGGTGTATTCAACCTCTGCAGTTACTTTTTTTTGCATTAATTTAAAATAGCAACTGCGACAAATAACCGCAGGCAAACAATCATCATTTATGTTATATTCAGGTATTAAATCCAATATTAAACTAAGTACTTTACCCTTTATTTTCACATTTCGCACAGCTTTATTAAAACACATATAGCACACTGCAAACCGAGAATCTTCATGAGACTTGTCTATGAGGTGACATATTTTTGTGTACAGTTGAAAATTATTTGACAGTTATCTTTTTGAAGCCACCTAGGTACCTACTTGATTAATTTGTAACGTAGCCGAAACCGCTTACGTATTTGTGCCTTCTGTAATAAACTTAAATGTTTAATTTTTAAAGAAAAAATGTTATAAATATATACAGTATGTCTCAGTATCTTGGAATCATATGGAAAACTTTTTTATTATTAATTTTAGGAAAAAAAGTTATTCTTCATAAAAAGTTCTGCATGGTGTAAAACTTAAAATGCAACCCACAAATATTATTTTTTTTTAGTCGTATACGAGGTATGTCAAAAAATATAAATTTGGCGCAAGAGTAAAGTACCTTTATATTTGACAATATCGAAAATTGTTATAAAGAAAAGTTAATCAGAACTAAAAACTACGTTTAAATATGCAATTTCATACATTTACATTAAAAAATTAGGTTTTGTTAATTTTTACTAATCTTTCTATTTTAAATGAACATTTATCTGTTATGATTAGAAAAAACATGAAAACCTTAAGTTAAGTCAGGGGATCTAGCAGGCCAAAAAGTATTAGAATATCAACAAATCATTTGTTTATCAGTGAATCCTAAATTACATGTTACAGTTAAATTTGCATTGATATTGTAGACAAAAAAGAAAAAATAATTTTTTTTAATGTAAATGGATGTAATTGCATATTTGAACGTAGTTTTTAGTTCTGATTAACTTTTCTTTATAACAATTTTCGATATTGTCAAATATAAAGGTACTTTACTCTTGAGCCAAATTAATATTTTTTGACATACCTCGTATACGACTATAAAAAATTGATATTTGTGGGTTGCATTTTAAGTTTTACACCATGCAGAACTTTTTATGAGGAATAACTTTTTTTTCTAAAATTAATAATAAAAAAGTTTTCCATATGATTCCAAGATACTGAGACATACTGTATATATATATATATATATATATATATATACAAAAACTCTTTAATTATTTTTGAGCCTAATTTTCTTATTAAGAGTGTAATAATAGACAATATTAACCTTCTTACATGAGTATAAATATAGCACAATACAAGATTCGTCATAAAAAAATAAACATCCTGTAAAAAATAAATAGCTACGTAGCCGATTTTGAAAATATATTTTTTTACAAGGTAGAAATATGGACTTTTGAAAAATATGTGGTTCACCTTTTATATATTTTTTTTGTTGAAACTTTGGTCTAGGCGAACTGTGATCTGGCTTGTGATAGTTCTTTCCATTATTTATTTATAACCCTACGAATAAAAAAGTTATTGATATTCTGAACCTTATTGTTGTTTAAAAAATTGTATTCAATATTTTCCATTTTTAGGATCCAGGACATCTGCAAGTTTAAAAGTCAGAAGTCTTCTTGGAAAAGTTTGGGCAAGGGACAGCAAATCAAAATCCTGCGAGAACCTGCACGTCCTTTAAAAAGGACGATATTTAAATTTATATCAAATTACGACTTTTAAAGTATTTAGTAGGAGATAAAATGTCCAATAAATCGTTAAATGAAAATTTTGCCCACATACACGCACGTCATGTCAGTTTAATTGAATTATTTTGTTCGTATGATTGGGTTTTGATATTCGGCATTGTTTTGCTCCAATTTAATTTATATTCAATTCCCCCCAATTATTTTAGGCTTATACAGGGTGCGGCAATACATTTTTTACACGATAATTATAAAAAAAATATAAAGTAAATTTAAAGTAAAACTTGCATAAAATAAACATTATAAAAATACACATTCGAAGTTCCAGGGATGTGGCCAACTTTGTCGGCAAAAGTAATTTGGTAAAAGTTACGGAAGTGAATTCAGATCCTCATTTTTCTGTGAATTCACTGGGCGGCATTTTCGAAAGTTTTATGCCGACTAACATCTAATGAATGGATTTAAATATACTAGACAAAAGACCTGCTCTCTAAAAATGAATTAGTCAAACATGACTAATTGTCATAGCGAAAAAGCAGCCACCTATAATTCTCGTCAACAGCAATTTGTATCCCAAACATTAGTCAATTTTCATGTAAAATTGTCCCCTGAATCTGAAAATGCCATCAAAAGTTAAAAAAAACTAGAAGTTTTTGAGATCTAGTAAATTTTCCATATACTATGGAATTGACTTTATCTCAAAAACTGCTCTTTCATAATTTTTGACGGTATCATCGGATTCAGGGGACAATATTACATACGAATTGGCTGTTAAATGTTGGGGATATCATGGTATCCGATGGTTAACCATGGTATAAGTAAAAAGCAGCCAATATTAACTATAGTAACCAATCAATTTTGAGTAATTCATTTTTAGAGAGTAGGAAGACTTAAATAAGAATAAATAGACAATTGAAGAGGCAATTGTATGAAGAGGTTACGTAAAAGGACAAAAATATTGTAATTTCAATACCAAGTTTATTTTTATTTACAATTACAAACTTTTTGTTCGGAGGTGTCATGTTACATTTAAATTAGGAAAAAAACAGACAATAATTGAGGCCTGTCAGAGCAAAGTCAACAATCTCCAATAGACTAAAACTGAGTAAATTGAGATAATTGATTTTGGTATTTTAAATTCTAGATTTGTAATTTATTTTATATGTTATATTGAAATATTGTTGTTGTTAGTCTAGTAGCCAACTACAAGGTCTCCAGGATGCATAGTATAGGTGAAATCTATAATTATAAATTGGAAATTGCTAACTTTGATATGAATTGTTGGAAATTGCTCATTTTGTTGTAAACGTTTTTAAACGTTTACAACAAAATGAGCAATTTCCAACAATTCCTTAAAAGGAGATTTAGAAAAATAAACAAAAAAATAATTGTTTTTTTATTTCTTTAATGGGTATAAAATTTAACTATACAATCAATGTGGGAAAATTCTGAACTGGACCACATAAATCTGGAGTTTCTTCTAAATCTGGGACCAGGTTGCCTCATGCAAAAAAGTTTTTATAGTACAACAACTCATCATCTTCTTCCCACTTTGCTAACTTTGATATGAATTGTTGGAAATTGCTCATTTTGTTGTAAACGTTTTTAAACGTTTACAACAAAATGAGCAATTTCCAACAATTCCTTAAAAGGAGATTTAGAAAAATAAACAAAAAAATAATTGTTTTTTTATTTCTTTAATGGGTATAAAATTTAACTATACAATCAATGTGGGAAAATTCTGAACTGGACCACATAAATCTGGAGTTTCTTCTAAATCTGGGACCAGGTTGCCTCATGCAAAAAAGTTTTTATAGTACAACAACTCATCATCTTCTTCCCACTTTGCCCCGTAATGTTTTACTTGCAATGTTTTGACATTATCATCCTTTTCTTGCTTTACCTTTACGTTTTATTATGGTATAATAGCACAAAATAAACAAGATAACTTTTTATATAATTCTTAAAACAACAAAACGAATATATACCCATTTTAAATATATTTTTAAGTGCAATTTACTGCAATAGAACTTAACAGTATGTACCAGTAAAAAACACAACATTAAATCTCTAAAATACGTTATAACATCAAATGTTAGGATATCAGGTGACACAAATTACTAATTTCTAATGGTGGAATTGGAGATTGTATACTTTGCTGCAAATATATCAGTGGAGATTGTCGACTTTGCACTAAATGTCATTTTTAAAATAGGATTTTAGGCAGGATTTAGCTCCTTTTGCAGCACATAAACTTTATCATCTTATAGATAATTAGTTGAAGTACAGACTCCGCCAAAAATCTAATTTTTGACCAAAAGTGGAGATTGTCGGTTTTGCTATGACAGGCCTCAATTGGTATTGTAAATAAAAATATTTTTTATTGCAATTATAATATTTGTTGTCATTTATTATCCAAAATGTTACTTAACACCTTTATTCACGACATTTTAATGAAAATCCGCCCCTGCCTGTTTCTTAGGACGTATGATAAGGAATTAAAGCTTATAAATAACATAATAATTATATTTATATTACACAGGGTGTCTCAAAAGTCAAGGACAGCAGAAAAGGGGTGGATATAGGATGTGATTCTAAGTCGAATAGTCTTTGCCGTTTTTTGATTAATAAGTTATTAGTAAAATAAAGTAGCCAATCACAGTACTCTATCAGAATGATTAGAGGTAGGACAACACAAACTTTTATAGAAATTCCATGGCTATGAACGTATTATATTGTGAAATGACCTTAATTTTGTTTTTTCAATGTCACTGACAGTTTTTTAAGTTCAGGAGAAATGTTCATTTTTTGTGAGGAAGAAATAGGCCTACCTTTTCTTTTCGTTATTTTTTTTTAACTTGCGACTTAATAAATAAGTTAATACAAGGTTGATTATGATATACTTTACTTTACCTTTTTTAAATACTTTAAAATAATTATTTTATTAATATTAATAATAATTAATTTTAACATTATTATTTAATTAGAGATATTTGAATGAATATGTAATAATCACAATCCACACAACAAACCCTGTTTTATCTTGTTTTGCGCATACTAAAAATCACTGCAACACTGCACATAATTTAACGGGGCCATTTTTATGTTTATACAGATTAAAAATCGTTTTAAACGTTGTTTCTCACAGAGGCACTTGTAAGCCTCAAATGAGGCCTTTAAGTGCTAAGAACAACCATTTTAAACCTTATTCTATCAAAGCTGTCATCAAAATATCAAATTTAAATTTGTGGGTTATGGTAAATTAACCTTAAAATTTAAATTTGACAGTTTAATGACAGCCCTGATAGAATAAGGTTTATTTTTACCAAAAGGGCCACCAATTCTTTCTTCAAAAAAGTCCCAAGTTAAAACTAACCTAAAAACTAAAACACTGACAGTGACAATGTCAACCATATATTTAAGGTCATTTTACACTACGATTGTATATAGAATTTCTAATATTAAGCTTCAAATTATAGTTCTCCCACCCCTAATCATTCTGCTAAAACACGCCTGTGATTGGCTACTTTATTTTATTAATAACTAATTAATGGCGCGTCTGATCGAAAAACGGCAAAGACTATTCGTCTTAAAATGCCACCCTCTATCCACCCCTTTTCTGCTGTCATTGACTTTTGAGACACCCTGTATATTACAATTATTGTAAACTGTGATTCTGATCGATATGCATTTATGTCTGCAAGGGCGTAGATAAAAGGATATAAATTCTTATTAATTAAATTTATGTGTCCAAAGTTATCTGATCACTATTGCTACGATTTTAACTCTGTTATTATTAAAGCTACAAGTCCTTATTAATTGTTTATTTTTAAGTTAAGGGTAGTTATGCAATAATAATTTTTTCTTCCAAATTAAATTTTATTTTAAAATATGTCAAAATATACAGGGTGTATTTTTGTAAATATTTTGGAAACCCGACTTTAAATTGTTTTTCTGTTTTTACCATTTTAATCAGAAAATGCCACCAATTTGCTAATTTAACCGACTTTGTAGCTCGAATAATAACGAAGTTAGCAATGGTGCGCAGAGGACTGTAGGTATACCAGTAATTAGTATATAGTGATACTGTCGAAACTGGTATTTTTTTTAATTATCGTGTACATTCTTTATTGCTAGACGCTGTATGTTATTAGACTGTTTTGGATATATAAAAACAGGGTACCTTAATATATATATTAAATCAAATGCAAATGAGTCGTACCTAATTGTTTTTTTTACGTACATATGGGTTTTTGATAAAAAATATCAATGTTGGTTGCAACTTGACACTATTTAAAAACTGTCTACAGATATATTTGACAAAGTTTGACAGTTTTCAATAAAGCAAGATGAACAAAATTTTGGCAAGAATTTAATATTTTTTTTGTCAAAAACCTAAATATAAATTTAGTCCTTAGGCATAGCTCCAAAGCATATTTGTATATATTGTTAATAAATGTTTTTCTTAAGTTAATGGAGCGTATAGTACAATTCTATTCTTGTGATTATATATGTGTTTTATTATTATTACTATTATTATTATTAAATACATTTTTTTATAAATTTGCTTTCGCAAATCTATAATTTTAACTGTCTCAAACTCAACTCACTAACATCCTGTATATCTGTCCCTACATATCTATCTACAGTAGTTTCGATGAAATCGGGTCCATATTGTCACTTAAAAACACCAATTTGTAGGATACATACACAATGCCAAACCACTTAGAAAAAGTTTTGGCAATATTAATATTGTCAGTTTATAATGTTATTCATATAATATATTATATTATAATAAATTAATTAAATTGGGTCCATATATTTAGCGAATAAAAGTATAGTTTAGACATGTATAGTAAATAGATAAGTTATTGATTTCTTTCGACAGTACATAGATATTGAAAAATTGAGCTATAGGTGAAGCTTTAAGAAAATTAAAACTTTTTAATAAATGCTTTAAAAATTGGAAAAGTATTAAAAGTTATTCCCTTTTAATGGGACCAAAAGGACTTTTCTGACTTACGAGGTCCACAAAATGCAATTCTACAGCTCGACATGTGTATCGGTGAGGGATACCTTGCCTGTCAAGCAAAATCATTGGGCGTGCCGCTTTTTTTTCAAAGACACAAATAGCTGCAGCTACTGATACGTCGCATACACATATACCGGGTGTATCTGAGAATAGGCGCGCCACTGTAACTTTTTTATTTATAAAGATGGACACATGAAATTTTGCATCGTTAATTAGGATATAAAATGCCACTTATAAGAGTACAAAATGAATTTTTTAAACTTCCGGTTTGGGCGGAAATGATATCAACTTTTGATTTTTAAATGGAACGCCCTATATATTTTTACATATTTAGAATCCTGAGTAAATTTTGAGTCTAACAGCATCCTCAAATTGACCTTTCGACGTTTCGTCATCAGAAAATGCATCATCATAAAGATCAATCTAGAGTGCTTTGAACTATTTAAGAAAAACGAATTTTGACAAGTTAACAAGTGAATAACAACTTTCTAAGACAAGTTCCATTTTTCAGGCATTGCGTGGATCCATTAGAAGAAAATAAGATAGTTCAAAGCACTCTAGATTGATCTTTATGATGATGCATTTTCTGATGACGAAACGTCAAAAGATCAATTTGAGGTTGCTCAGGATTCCAAATATGTAAAAATGTATAAGGCATTCCATTTAAAAATCGAAAGTTGGTATCATTTCAAAAAATTCATTTTGTACTCTTGTAAGTGGCATTTATATCCTAATTAACCATGCTAAATTTCATGTGTCCATCTTTATAAATAAAAAAGTTACAGGGGTGCGCCTATTCTCAGATACACCCGGTATATATATATATATATATATATATATATATACTAGGGTGTCCCAAAAAACAAGAATATTTTTTTTTTTCTCGTCTCTTGTGAAAATATGTTGGTTTGTCATGTTTTAAGAGCCCTGTCAAAAGATCAGCACCATTAAAAAATTTTTAGGGGTCGCTCAAGATTTTTAAAAATTACCAAAATCGTCAAAAATTGGATTTTTTTTTATTTTAATTTTTTTGCTCTTTCCGATATTATTTTTTAATTTAAAAATAATAATGATTCTGAAAATTTCAAATCGATATTTTAATTTCTAAAGGTCGCTCAAGATTATTTTAACTTTCAAAGTAGAGTATTTTGAATGTTTTCGAGCGACCTCTAAATATAAATATCAACGAACTTTTAGCGACCTTTAGAAATCAAAATATTGATTTGAAATT